CACACGGGGAACAGACAAAGACACAATGAAATTAATCTACCAATAAACACTGAACAGACAGTCTGCTGACAACTGAATATTTTTCTTTAAATGTAAAGATATTGACATAACTTGACAAAGTGTTAACATAAACTACAAATAAATAAACAAACTCTCCCCTTCCTTGTACTGAGCAATTGGTGCAGTCCAGGTCTAGTGGGAGGTATTTAAACCTGCTGCTTCCTCACTCCAATCTTTTCCTCAGGACCAGGAAATGGTAACTCAAAAGAATAATTTACACACATGAACAATCCAAAATTAACCAAATGTGCATGCTTTGTTGATTAGTTACAGTGCCTTGCGAAAGTATTCGGCCCCCTTGAACTTTGCGACCTTTTGCCACATTTCAGGCTTCAAACATAAAGATATAAAACTGTAATTTTTTGTGAAGAATCAACAACAAGTGGGACACAATCATGAAGTGGAACGAAATTTATTGGATATTTCAAACTTTTTTAACAAATAAAAAAACTGAAAAATTGGGCGTGCAAAATTATTCAACCCCCTTAAGTTAATACGTTGTAGCGCCACCTTTTGCTGCGATTACAGCTGTAAGTCACTTGGGGTATGTCTCTATCAGTTTTGCACATCGAGAGACTGAAATTTTTGCCCATGCCTCCTTGCAAAACAGCTCGAGCTCAGTGAGGTTGGATGGAGAGCGTTTGTGAACAGCAGTTGTCAGTTCTTTCCACAGATTCTCGATTGGATTCAGGTCTGGACTTTGACTTGGCCATTCTAACACCTGGATATGTTTATTTGTGAACCATTCCATTGTAGATTTTGCTTTATGTTTTGGATCATTGTCTTGTTGGAAGACAAATCTCCATCCCAGTCTCAGGTCTTTTGCAGACTCCATCAGGTTTCCTTCCAGAATGGTCCTGTATGTGGCTCCATCCATCTTCCCATCAATTTTAACCATCTTCCCTGTCCCTGCTGAAGAAAAGCAGGCCCAAACCATGACGCTGCCACCACCATGTTTGACAGTGGGGATGGTGTGTTCAGGGTGATGAGCTGTGTTGCTTTTACGCCAAACATAACGTTTTGCATTGTTGCCAAAAAGTTCGATTTTGGTTTCATCTGACCAGAGCACCTTCTTCCACATGTTTGGTGGCAGCATCCTGGTTTGGGCCTGCTTTTCTTCAGCAGGGACAGGGAAGATGGTTAAAATTGATGGGAAGATGGCTGGAGCCAAATACAGGACCATTCTGGAAGGAAACCTGATGGCGTCTGCAAAAGACCTGAGACTGGGACGGAGATTTGTCTTCCACCAAGACACTGATCCAAAACATAAAGCAAAATCTACAATGGAATGGTTCACAAATAAACATATCCAGGTGTTAGAATGGCCAAGTCAAAGTCCAGACCTGAATCCACTCGAGAATCTGTGGAAAGAACTGAAAACTGCTGTTCACAAACGCTCTCTATCCAACCTCACTGAGCTCGAGCTGTTTTGCAAGGAGGAATGGGCAAAATTTAAGTCTCTTGATGTGCAAAACTGATAGAGACATACCCCAAGCGACTTACAGCTGTAATCGCAGCAAAAGGTGGCGCTACAAAGTATTAACTTAAGGGGGCTGAATAATTTTGCACGCCCAATTTTTCAGTTTTTTATTTGTTAAAAAAGTTTGAAATATCCAATAAATTTCGTTCCACTTCATGATTGTGTCCCACTTGTTGTTGATTCTTCACAAAAAATTAGTTTTATATCTTTATGTTTGAAGCCTGAAATGTGGCAAAAGGTCGCAAAGTTCAAGGGGGCCGAATACTTTCGCAAGGCACTGTATGTATGTCCAATGTCAATATCAAATACCTAATCTCTACCTACAACTTGAAGCTATGCACATAAACAAAGAAAACAAAGGATTACCCAACCAATTCTACTGCTGGTGGTGACTAACACTATAACTTACTCAGGATGGGACTAGGGCTAATAGACTAATCTGTAATGTGGATAGCTGGCTTGCAAATGCTTGCCAGCAGCCAGTGCCTCCTCAGCAGATAATATACTGGTTCTTGATAACATTATAGGTTTTGTCCTGCTTTTTTTTTTATTCATTTATTTATTTTTGGTAAGTGCTAAGTTTAGAAGTGAGCATGCTCTCTGTTGTGCACTGATACATTAAATAAATGCAAGGCAAACTCTATAAGCTCTATTGTCAATAGTGTAAAACCCCATAAAGAGCAAATTTGGATTTGCCTCTGCATTAATGTTGGGGCAGCAGAGAGGGACAGAGAGTGAAACAGGGTTGAAGATGTTAAAGAGTCAGAGTTGAGGGGGTGAAGTCTTGATAAAAGGCACTCAAATTTGAAGATGAAAAGAGAGAAAATGCTAACTTCAAGAAAAAGAGGGAGCACAAAGCCAAGAAAGCCCCAAAGTAGGGAGCGATGTGAATAAAAGGCCCAGCTGTGTCTACATCTAGTGTGTGTGTGTGTGCTTGTATATGTGTGTTCACTCACTGAATGCTCTCTGGCCTTATGTAACTTTGTGCTCCATGCAAGTCCGGGAGCAGGACGCAGCTGTGGTGTGACGTGTTTGACCGCACGCACAGAACACACCACTTTCACTTATCCGTTACATTGCACATGCACACACATACACACAGGGGCACGTATAATTCATAGCCTTTAATGGACCCGAACTCTGTTCAGCCTTCATGTGCAAGGACCAGCAAGTCAGTCAGGACTCTAGCCTGACGTTGTATCTAGCCCTTGGAATATTGGACAGTATATTGGTTATGACACACTTGGTGTTTTGGAATCAGTGCAAAGCCCTGTGCATCAGTGGTCTAAAGATGGGAGATTCCTACAGATTTCATTGCTTTGACAGCTCAAGTATTATCCAGAGATACATTACCATTTTTATGTACACAACCTTATAGTGGGCAGCGCAGACTGGTGATGCAGCATCTGGCTTATCACAACCCTCATAACAAGGCAGCAACACATTCCAGGAGAGCTACTGGCCTTCTCCACAGCAACCCCCTTTTATTTACTAATGGCACAAAGTGAAGGATTTGTTCCATGCAGCACTGTTGACATGAGTACATAATGAACACATTTGTAATCCATGTTCATGTGCACACACATTCAAATGGCAAAGGTAAGCAAAGAAGTTAGAAATAGTTTATTCAAGAAAAAAAAACACACACAGCTACACACCTAAAATATTTATCATTTATTCTGTTTCCACTTTTAACTCGTCTCATTCCCAGATGTTTTTGCTAGTTCTTCACATCATCTTTAGTCCCTTTTCCATCTCAATCCAATAAATGTTTTGTATCCACAGTATACTGCCAAGCAATAATAATAACACATATACCAGTATATGGCAGCAACAGCTGCACATTTGCAATTGCCTATTCCCACTAGGATCAAATTGTTCTCATTTAAAAAAAAAAAGTTTCTTAACTCCAGATCCTGGATAAAGGAGGATTATTATAGTAGGATATGCAAACTGAGCCCATGCTGTCATGCCATAATACCCAATGCACTTAGTCCATCAGTCAGAAAATGCGTGTGCAGTCGTGGAAGCCATGCAGCTGATTATGTTGCAGTCAGACACAAAATTTGTTTCCAACACGGCCCAGCTTCACATTTACAGATAAAGGTTGCAATAAGTGGACACTTAAGAGACAGTCCCTTCAGGTTGGTGGAGAGTTCCTGCCTCAAGTGGAGGAGTTCAAGTATCTTGGGGTCTTGTTCACGAGTGAGGGAAGAATGGAACGGGAGATTGACAGGCGGATCGGTGCAGCTTCTGCAGTAATGCGGTCGATGTACCGGTCCGTCGTGGTGAAGAAGGAGCTGAGCTGTAAGGTGAAGCTCTTGATTTACTGGTCAGTCTACGTTCCGACTCTCACCTATGGTCATGAACTTTGGGTCATGACCAAAAGGGCAAGATCCCGGATACAGGCGGCC